TGAACCCTGACTTCTTTCCTCCCTTTCTAAGGTGACTAGCAAGAGGACCTGTCAACACTCCCTCTCTGTGTGACATGAGTGCCAACGCACGGCATGCGGGTGTTGGTGAGGGACACAATTTCTGGTGACAGCTGGTATGTCAGACTGTTATATGCATTTTAAAAGTCTTCAGAAAATATGTTGATTAGAAAGCAAGTCCCAGTCCTTACTCTGTCTATAAGGAACGCTCTTACTAAGAAGTTGTGGCTTGGGACTCCTACAGATTCAGCAGCTGGCCAAACACAGTAGTTTAAAGCACTGCTCCATGAAGTTCTGTAGATGACTCTTATGGATTTGCTAAATTTTAATCCCTTCCAACAACTAGGAAATCCCTATCCACAGAACAGTTACATTCACCAGGGAGAAAAAGGATAAAAGATTAAAGAGAAAGCATTTCCGAAAGCAATGCAGTTATGTCTGGAGGAGGCATCAGGAGATGTCCAGCCCCACAGCAGGATCTGCTACAACTTGTATTATTTCCAGAGGATGTTTCCTACTTGTTCTTGAAGGCCTCCAACAATGGAGATTCAATAAACTCCTTATGTAAACTCTTCCAGTGCTGGACTACTCTTACCACGGTAGGACCATCTCTCTTGCTGGAACTCCAGACAAGGAAGGAATTCTTTTTCATATGTTCTGCAAGCTCTGTATTCCTCTCTATTCACCCTGGTATACTACACACCATAGCATGAGAGTGTTGACTCAGGTACTGGCTTGGCATTCCCTGCAACTCTCAGACTTTTTTCTGAATAATTACTCTAGGGAATAACGAGTAGTTATTCCTCAGCCTTTATTATTAAGTTTGTTACTCCTAAGAGTCATAGATAGAACATATCCATGTTGAACTGTGACTATTCTTTTTATGATTATTTCTCCAACTGATCAAGACCACTATGAATTGTTGCCCTTTCTTTCATAGCATCTTTCATTCTTACCAGCTTAGTGCCTCTATATAATATCTTATCACAATCAGTGCCATCATCTAACCCATTCAGAAAAGTACAGAATAGCACTTGTGAAGAAGCCACCTCTGGGATCCTCCCAGCTCATGCTTCCCTTCCGACAGTGGACTGTTCCCAAACACTTTCCAAGTCATTTTCAATCAGTATTTCAGGTACTGTACAGCAATGTCCTCCAGACAAACCATCCTAACATTGATGGGTGGGAGTACAAGATGCACACTTATATCAGGTTGTACAGAGACACTCATTTGCACATGTAAGGTCTTCTGCAACTGAGATCCCTGCCCACCTGCCCAGGGTAGCAGTGACAGTACAGTCCTCCATGTTATCAGTACCAGCAGTATCCACCTTCCTGCAAAAGACTCAAACACACCAAAGACACTTTGAATTTATTTGTCTCTCTCACTCTAACATTTTCTTTCAGTCTTTCTTTCATTACCTAAGTACATGAAAAGTGAGTTCTTACTACCTGTTACACACCTGGATAGTTCCATCTCATTATGTGCCTCAAGACTTCTGATTTTTTGTGCCTACATGCTATTTTTTTATCCTTGTTCTTGGACATCTGACCTACTTCCCACTCTATAAAAAAAACTTTTCCTCTTCTGGGGGCCATGAGGAGCTGACAATTTAGCTGCACTGGTCTTCTACTGCACTTCCTTAACTTTCCTCCTTACTGGAAGAGTTTGCACTTAATACCTTTTCTTCAAGGAGCTGCCAGCTCTCCTTAACACCTTTTTCCTTTACACTTGCCAGAACCTTGCTACACTGTGTAAGCCTGTAAAATGCAGAAGCCTATTTTATATTGCAAACAGGCTAATGGGATAGTTTTACATTCTCAGCAACACCACCCAGTACAGCAAATTTATGTCACTGAGCTGACACTACAGACCAGTTTTGAGCAAAGATGAGCTGTTTTCAAGTAGAAGAGCAGGATGGAAGTACATAACTGAGGGAAGAGACTGGCTCATGTACTCGCATCAGATGACTACTGCAAGATAAAATGGGTGCATTTTTAACGTATATGTAGACTATCCTATTTTGTGCAATAACAAGGAAAACTTGGGACAGGGTGTCAAAGTTGTTGAAGTATCCTCTTTAAATAAATGGTCTGTTTTCTAAGTTGTCCGAAGCTATCTGTTCTGAGGATCAGAAGTGCAGCTAGAGAGATCATCACTCACTGGAGCGCTGCCTTGTTTGTTACAGATATTCAAACGCATAGTAGAATCAGAATAGGCTCTGGACATCTGGACATTAGTATCATCCTTAGAGAAAGTACTGTAGGCTAGCCTCAGCTCCACAGTTCCTGTGTGCTGCTAGGGAAGCCTTTTACACTAGTCTTGACTCAGCTGGTCACCAAATAAGTGTGTGTTAGATCTTTGGTCTCCAGTTTCAAGCCCTGAGGCCCAGATTGCAGAGCTCCTCAGCACTCACTAATGCCACTGAAATCAACAATAGCAAACATGCCTTGATCACATGAAATGTATTAGTCCAAGAAATCAGGTCACTGAATGGGGCCCCCAAATTAGCAAACACTCTTGGACCTCTGCTTTAACCACTAGCCTTCAGTCCTGATTTATAAAGCGGAGATACCACATCAACTCCTCAGAACAGCTATAAATACATTAACATTTCTGAGGCATTCAGAAACTACAGTGAAACAGCAGAATAAAATTCTGACAAGGAAATGACCAATTTTGTCTTCCAAGTAAGGTCTGAATAGTGTACAGGGGGAAAAAAAAAAAAAAAAAAAAAAAGGAAAAAATTATAGGGCAACACTTGGAATAGTATTTTGTATCAACTCCTAAATTGAAGGCTGCCCAATCTGTACACTCTATAAGACAAATATCTGGAAGACAAGGCTCCACTTAGATAATAATAGATGCAATATAAATATGACTGCATTTGCCTTGAAAGCAAAGCCCCTTCCTAAACCCCAACATTCACCCTAAAAAACGCTCCTAATTGCATAAAGACTGCATATAGTCCATTCACAGAGAGGGGCCCAGTTACTGAAAAAAAAGCTTGTTAACTATAATGCTATAACTATGACACTAACCATAGCATTGCCTTTTTAGCACTCTATGTCAGTAATGCTCCTTTAACATATTTTTGGTGTGTATAGTATTATAAACATATAAACGCTGCAAGGAGTGAAAGACAATTTTGGCCATAAATTATTTTACTCTATCTCTTTAAACTGGATACACAAAAACATGTTTGTGTTTATTGGAATAACATCAGTGTGACTGACAGTGTATAGTGGATTTCATTTATCAGGTTTTCCTTATCATTTCTGCAAACGCTTCCCTCCTAATTGCATAACCTATCCTACAGG